CATAAGATGTAAGTACAACTCCTCCGGTTTCATATGCAAAAAAAATTATTGCGCTAGCTCACGTGGTTGCAGAGCTACCGGGATTTAAAAATAGCTACGCAAAACGGAGCGTGCTCGCTCTGACCGGTTTTAAAGGGTTAAACATGGCGGCTGTCAACCGCTCAGCCAATCACAAACCAGAAACATGTGCTTTGTGGTCTGTGTTCGGCCCTCCTGATTGGTTGGATCCTCTCTGGGAGTACCTCAAACCTGCAGATTGACTTCACAGCAGAGCAGAGACAGGTCCTCGTGTTCTGGTTTATTAACACACAGTTTATTTATGATGTGTTTATGATGCAGTGACTTAAACTTTCACAGTCGTGCTGAGGTCCAAACTCAGACCTCGTCTCTGTGGGAAACTTGGTTTTATCATGCTTCTTAATGCCACACCATCACCATCATAATGAATAACACAATTCTGTTTCCTGTGCAAAAATAAAAGCCTCCGTGTCTCCATCTGCTCCGCACATCATCCTAACCTGTCCAGGTGTGTCCAAACATCGGACCTTTAACTCATGAAGACAGTTACAGCTCCTGAAGTCTCCTCCAGGCTGAAGAACACGAGCCTGAACCTTCACAGAGCGAGGACTCCTTTATTGAAACAGATATAATGAAATAAAAGGACTGAGTGTGACAGGGCTCCATCACAGGATACAGACAGTTACAGACACTTTTATTACACATTAAACACACACAGCCTCCTGCTGCTATCAGCGTCTGAGCTGATGCTGCTCCTGCAGGCCACAGCTTTGGATCGGTCACCTGTGGAGCAGCGACTCTACAGGACATCAGAAATGTGGAGGAAAAAGCAGCAGCTCGCAGTCTGGACTGTAACATGTTCTTATCCTCTAACAGGGAGAAGTCTGCCATCTAGTGGTGATAACGTGGAGCTGCAGGGACATGAGGACGAGAGGACAGCAGGAACACTGAGGGGTGGATGAAGACAGATTAAAGGGAGACGAGCAGGAGACACAGAAACATCGTAGATGATCTCTGCACATCATCCTGGAAGCATTCAGTGTTCCTCGTGTTGT